AAAAATCGACGCCCACCCTTAGAAAAATTTGGACCAAAAATAAAAATTTCACATGCGTGTTTTTTGAGCTCAATCGCTTCCTTTCGACGTAAGAAAGTCACAAATATGCATTGATAAAGTGTTTGGGTCAATAAGAAGGAAGAGATCGTCGGCGAAAGAACGTGAAGGCTCAAGAAACGCTTAAAATGTGCCAAAAATCTCTATTTTTTCGGATCTGAAACTTCTAGCATGTTTTTCAATGAGTTCGATGCATTACTCGCGTCCGGGAGCTGAAAATGATGTGAAATTTAAGACATTTTGAGACAAAAAAGATAAGCCGCAATATAGATCTTACCGAGGCCCCCGACATCGTGAGCCCGGGGCTGCAGCCCCCGTAGCCCCGTTAGATCCGGCGCTGCTACTTAGGGATACAAGGGAGAAACAATTAAACTACTTACGTTGCTGATCTCAAAGCGCCATAATAGAATTTCCGCCGCTTCTATCATTGATATTATTACTGGATGCCGCCTTTTCAATGGTAGTTTCTGGTTCAGATTTCACACATCCCTGAAAGCGCATTTTTGCGTCATCGCCCACTACTACTGTTCGTTGACAAAATATCAGTGTGAGACAAGAAACTATGAACAGGGTGGTGGGCAAAAGAGAAGCGATTATAAATTGCTTTGTGGTGGTTTCCAAGTCGAATCTAGCAACCACGATCTCCGTATTATCTGTGGAGTAGTAACATGGAAATCTAGCTCTGGCGTTGTGGTCGGTTCCATCTTTTCCGTAGATCTTCAGAAAGTCCTTGCACTCGTCTCTTAAGGTATTGACGCAACCTTCAAGATTAATAAGGAGTTTGCTGTCATTAGCTATCAGCAGATCGGGTTCTGGAGGAGCGACCTTGCGGTCCTTATCTAGGACAACTGTATTGAAGACACTGAGGTAGCTGAGATAAGTAAAATTGGCCATGTCGGCTAAAACATTAGTCGCAAGCAAGCTTCCGTTGATGCAATCGGTTGCTTCCAAACCTCTGGTGGTGTTCGCCACGCTGAGACACGAGGCCATCACGATATTCTCCTCAGATTCATTCCAGACTTCCTTTCCCGAATCCAGATCTATACAACGCTGACATTGCGACAAATAGACCTCATCCCCGCTCATCATAATCACGTTTTTGTTCCGGGTCGGGATGTCGCCACACTGTCTGTCGCAATTGTATGGCGACCTAATTCTTTCACATGTGCCCCGATTGCAGTTATACAGCCCGTGCAAGTCTATGCAGGTAATCTTACCACGTCGTCCAGAACACTTCAATGGAGGGTCAGTGTCTTTATAAACACACTCGAAAGAGTCGGTGATGTCAATGCAAGTTCCCGTGGTACAGTTGAATGTGCCCGTAAGATTTTTGCATTCATCCGCGATGCACCGGTTTTTCTTGGCAACTTCCTGGTCTTTGCCATAGCAGAATTTCTGAGCAATGTTGGTACAATTGGCTAAAAGAAGGTTGGACCCGTTCCGCCTGAGATTCACGTAAATTTGGATGCAGGAACCAGAAGTTTTGCTAAGACACCACTCGCCACAAGACCCCCAATCGCAAGTTTCTACAGTCAAGGCTCGAACAGTGGTACACATCACAGGGTGCTCCGATATGCCCGATTGCAGAGCTCTGGTTGAGGGCACATAAATCGCCACTGTTAGATACACTATCGCTACACTGCTTAGCACTAGTGTCATTTGGCAGAGACAAATCGTTCCGCATATTCTCGTATCCTGTGGGGGGATCACTAGATCTTCGATTGGCGTGGGCTTCTTCTTCGGCATCGCGGTGAATCAAAAATCGCGTTCATTCAGCAGCCCATTCTGTGAGGGTTGAACGACAAGTTTGCGGACTTTCACGAGGTGTGTAGCTAAGTCGTCGCTAGCCAGCGACGCGCCACCTTTCAAGTAACTGTGTTGCCAAATAAGGAGAATTAGATTGGGTTTCCGTTCCGTGGGGTTTTCTTGAAAGCACCCCCCTTTACTCAGTGGGGCTTATTTTCGATCACTTATACATGTTGCAGGTTGACTAATGAGGTTCTCCATCAGTCTCCCGAAGGGTGCATTGCAACTTAAATACCTCTGGAGTATTGCGACATGCGGGTGCACATACGAAGGTTCTGAACAGGACTAGGGGGTAGCAAGAAACCGGAGATTAGGCGAAAAATTATAAACATTCCAGCAAATGCTCGAATGCCGGCAACTCAGCTCTGCAGGCTCATGTCAGCCCTTCGTGCACTTTCAAATCGATACCCCACTGCGGAAAATCCAATCGATAATACCCTCGCGCACTTTCGGAAAATTGCTATATCATCTCCTGTTCCTAGTTTCCGAAGCTGCATTAAGCTATCGAAGTGCAGCAGGAATCGAAAAATGATTGCTGTTTATTTGTACTTACTTTAGAATGTCCAGTGATGTTGCGGACGCTAATAACGGGGTGAATGTGGCTTCTGGTGAGGAAACTATTCGACGACGTCGTCCAGATGGTCTGTCAGGACCCGGGGTTTGAATCGATAGTGTAAAGGTTGCCACAGTTTCAAACCGCAGTGCACAAAACACCATGGCTGATAGAAGCATCGCTATGGCTCGCACCGTCACTTAGTGTGCGCCCTTTGGATGAATTCTGTTCCATCACTCTGTACACAACAGTCTTGAATTAAAAAGCGATCAAAAATCGGGATCAGTAAAGTATCGGGAATATAATGTAAAACGTGCGGGGGTGAAACTGAACTCTATTAATATTAATTAGAATGTGTGGGTTCATAGGAAGGACCTAGTAATTTGGGGTAACCTGAGGAGCGCTAGGAGTGAGCTGGCCTCCGCCGCTCGCGCTTAGGTGCTTGCAGATGGTGGCGTCCGAGCCTCGAAGTTCTAACGACCTTGTGACACGACCATGGGGGATGAAAAGATTGACGAGGAGACCTGGCAACAAAAGTTACTCTTCTACATCACAGCTTTCTTCGTGTTGCTCGGAATATTCAGCCTCTTTTCCTTCCTGTTTCTTGTGCCTTTCGTCATAGATCCAGCCTTCACCACTATTTTTATGGAATTCGATGAAGAACCCGCTTTTTGTGTTACTGTTAAAACGCAAAGACTTTTAGGAGCCTCAAATTGCAGCTGGACCTCATGCAGGGAAGGTTGCACGAAAGACATCTACGACTGTACCCAAATTTTCGTTACCTACAAAATATTTTCCAACAACTCGTACCCGAACAGCAGCTTGTCTCAGTCCACCATGGCTACAGTCGAATCCCCGTATGTTCGCCAAGATAAAACGTTGTTAGATGATTACGATTACGAAATTGAACCTGCTACAGGCCTACAGCCCAACACTTCGGAATGGCATTACAAGGAAGCAAGATTTTTGCCCAATGTGAAAGGATGTGGTTACCCTCCAATGCTAAATTGCTCAGTTTGGCTGAAAAAGTACATAAGCGTAGGAGCCAACTTTTCGTGTTACTACAGCAAAATTGATCCTGGACTGGTGATTAGCGACTTGGATATGTGGCAGGTTTACATGAACCTTGTTTATGCCATGTGCATCCCGATCCCTTCGTTCATAATGTCTGTTATTTACTTGGCTATCGCTTACTTTAAAATCTACACTGACGATGAAGAAGCAGCCCCACTGGAAAAGAATGCCGAAGCCATCGATATTGAAGGTAATTAATGGATTTTTAATGTCGATTACGTAACTCATTGATCAATCCAGTTCTTATTCATAGCATAGCGAGGTCGCCGGTTCAACCCCATTAGGATCGTTCTCGCTTATGGCAACTACATTCGCTTTTTTTCTTATAGGAGAAAATGAGATGAATCAAACGCCAGTGCCCCCGGCAAGTGGTGGAATCACTCCGGCTAGTGAAGCATTCCGAGAAGACCTGGCCAGCTTCGGACACCATTTCAAAGTGGCAATGGTGGACGATATGAGTCGTGATAGTCTAGTGGATGGAATCATAACTTCCGTTTCAATAGGCGGGTGAGTTTTTACTAATCTACTATTTGATGCGGATGGTAAATGAATGAGGATGTTTTAGGAGCATCGGCAAAACAATGACTACTAGTATTTCAACAACTGGTGGACCTGTAGCTGATATTTAAAAATCTTTTTTATAGATTTTTCCTAAGGCTTGTGCTATAATGGCTTGGTAACTAATACAATTTTGACATTATCCTTCTCAACTGTTCTTCTACAGATGTAAGTATTTTATTAGGAGACTCAGGCTATTCTCAGGGTATTTCCTAATCAAATATTTAACGCCATTGGAACTACCCTATATGTCCCGCAATTACGATAACTTCTCAGTTTCATTTTTATCCAATCCAATTGTTTCGTTCAGCATTTTCGATAATATTTTGTAGCTAATTGAAGTGAACTGGAACCATAATCCACGCATTAAATTTTGTAAATAGTGAACGAACCAGCTTACGATTTGTCATCAATTATAGACTACTATTGTATTAGTGACTTGAAATTCCATTCGTTTATAGAAATTTTGACTAAATGCGATCTGCGATAAATAATGTGTGTTCTAGGAAACGTTCTGTATGTTTTATAAAATACCAGTTTTCAAATTTGAATGTTTTATGTATAAAAAGGCTACTTAAAACGTGCATTTGACCTGTGATCATCTAAATGTTATAAATGGTCAGCAGTGTTTTGATCCTGACTTAAAGCTTCAGTTTAAATTCGGTCATTGATTTATTGTCTTATTAATGACTAATAATAGTTTAAATTGCCTTTTCAGGGCAAAGGCTGACTGTTTACTAATTCCTTATAAATGCTAAATGATTTCGTACCAAGCACTGCTGAATTTACGATTGTTAGAATATTTCAAAATTTATCGATGCGCGTGCCGCGTATTGAAAATATCGCCGCAATGATTTTTTGCGATATTGTTACACGTCTTTGGGCGCTGGTCTTGTTATGCCATCCTACAGGATCATTCACCTATTTACACGTTTCACTTTTGTATAAAATTCCAATAAAACTCAAATCAGACCAGTTATATTTCATTTTTATTCGATTTCGATACGAGTAAATTTGCGAGGCGTGTAAATAGTGAGAATATTTTCTGTAGGCATCATCGCTTTAGGGAGGTGTAGTAAATAATAACTGAAAAACTTATTGTCATTGATTTGAAACGCTTTAATTGATCAAAAAAACACAAGCCTACTAGTTTGTAATATTTTTAGAGTTAAACTTGTTTCTGTTAGCTTAGTTGGCCCGATTAACCAAAATGAATCTATATACTACAGAAAGTAGATTTATGAAAGTAGAAATTCACTTAACGCAGAAATGCCTTACGATTCAGTCAATCAACTTTTTTTTACCATTAGTGAAAAGTATTTTTGTACTGTCAAAAATATTTTCGTTAAGATTCTCAGAGAAAAAATGTGATAAAGTCCTTGGCCCTGTTCCAACAATAGCATCAATCGTTGAAATCGCTGTTACCGCTCCAGTCCAAAATTTATTTCCAAAATAACTACAGCAATTCAAATTTGGAAAGTACGCATTGTTGCAAAATGCCCAGAGTGACTCATGCAAATTCACTTGATTTAGCTGAGAAGAAAACACAGCTTTTTAGTTAAATTCTTCGACTGTTCATTCAATGCTATTAGGTGCGCTTTTCTATGAATCATTTCCCAGACTTGACTGAAAAGATTAGATAATATTTAGCTGGTTGGATTAGCCAGCTACTTGAAATTAGCGCTATATGCGATGTATTTGAACCGAAATTGCACTATTTATTATATATTATTTAACCGACATTTCTGAAACCGAAATTTAACAGGGTAAAATACTTGTTTCCCATTGCGTTCCTTTTCAAGAGCAGTGTATTAGGGGATTGCAACAGGTTTACGTGGCTGGAGCTTAACATTATTATAGTTCCTTTGATTTGTTATAATTATTTTCGAATTAATCGCATACAAAAATAAATTATATTATACTGTATATACTAGATTATCTTTATAACATTGTTAAAACATTGGTTAAATTGTTAAAAGTTTAATAGAACTTATGTTACAGTCTGTAATATACTGGATGTTCAAAGCTACGAACGCATAATAGGCGATATCCATGTTTTTCAAGGTCTTGCAACAAGAGGAGCAAAAATGGCTTTCTCCCTATATAATAGTTTTCGAACATCTTGTACGATGATAGCTTATATAACCTCTACGAATATTCGGACTTTGGTCCACTTTTTGCCTTTCCTCTTAAATGCGTTATAAGCATTTGTAATATTTTAATAAGAGTATGTGTTATGAAAATCAAATCACAATGTAAATAAATAATAGAGTGAAGACTACAGTTAAACCTAATTGAAATGTAACAGGCAATAAGAAATATAAATGCGAGATTTTCATTATATTTAAAATTAGTTCTTGTGCAGAGTATTTTAAAATATTGTACGCAAAATCTGTCTGAACACAATTAAAATTTGTCAGGAAATCGTACCTTTCCTAGCAAACTTTTAATATCAGATTGGAATATCATTATTAGCCGGTTTAGCGCTATCCATTTGTAGACAACCTTGATGCGCACACTAATATATAGTTAAGTACAAAACTTAAGTACATGTATATGCCTTTATTATTGTATGCCATCCATATTACTGGTGCTCAGAAGATCTTATTGTAGAATGTGACTGCCATGTAATAATTATAAACAGTGGCGAATACTTGTTATTGTTAACAGTCAAACGGATTGGCCGATTAGTGGTAGAACGACGTTATTTAAGCCACTAAATAGAAGGCTTGTGCTCAAAATATGCTAGATTTAATATTTACTCTTAGAATAATTTACGTTGAACCTAGTCTTCGCAGCGTTTGATTTAGGTTTAAGCTTAGTTAGTTCCTGTTATTTCCTGCACAATTGATTCAAACTTAGTCATACATAATTTAGCCAGTAGCAATAACTAAAATACCACCTTCCCGAAAATAGTGCAAGTTTCGGTTTAACTGTAGTCTTTAATCAACTTGTTGCTAAGTTTACGATGCGAACCGATTATTTGGATATATGGAAGATTTTCAGAAAATTGGTTGTTTCATTGCAAAGGGACCAAGGATGAGGAATAGACAATTATTTCATTTTGCGCAATATGATTGCGGTCACTCAAACAATCCTAAAAATGTTGCTTGTAAACTTATGTGACAACACTAATCGATTTGATGTTTCGTTTTGTAAAACAGCAACATTCATTTTACGTTCAGAGAGCTGAATAAAGCTTTAATCGACGTATTTAATACTTGGGTTTGAAGCTATGCGTTGTCCGGTTCGTTTTCAGAAACACGATCTTTTAAACTAATTTGTGATACTTACACTGCTCATATAGGGGTAATATATTTAAAATTCACACTTGTTTTATTTTATTGATCCCAATTTCATTTGAGTTGCTCTAATGTTTTGCCTAACATTTTCAAATAAAATGAACGCTCTTTTCAAAACACGAAAAGAACATTCAATAAACTTTTCAACAGTCAATAAAACAAAGCGGATATTTTCAGTAAAGTATATTAGAAACAACTATATCACAATACAAATATAGTAAACATTACTTGAACACAAATTAAAAGGGCGATTCTGTCAAATAATGTCACAAAAAATAAATGCAACCGGAAATTTTGGAATTGAAAATAAGTGCGCCAAATTTTTACAATATATTATTGCACTATTCAACGAAATAAATCTAATGTCCTAGATTTCTAGACGAAAATAAAAATTCTTGATAAATATTTGTTCAAATTGCTAATACAAATTTACAAATTGTGAGAAAACAGAGATCCAAATTTGTAGCCTCTCTATACAAACTCAAACAAACTAGCGTTAATCGCAATAAACTAATACTCACTTTGCAGTTTCAATATTTTCATCACTTGAAGTTTCACTAGTTTCATTTAAAAAGCACTTCTTAAGCAGTTCTTCATACTCAACTTGGTAAGGTAACAAAGGAATAACAAATACTGATATATCATCACATGACGCAGGTTTTCCCTCTTTGAGCATCCAGGAATTGTTGAGGGAGCCTCTGGCGTAACCAACTAAACAAGTAGCAGCACTCACGAATTTTTTGTCCTCAAAAGCGTTTATAGACTTTGCCACTATGTCAGCTGCTTTATGGCCGTCTACGACGTCCCAAAGACCATCTGTGCCCATGACCAAAACTTCTTTATCATCAGCTGCTGATAGCAAATGCACTTGAACTTCTGGGTGCGATGAAAGGAATGGTTTGATTGGTAATTTTTGATAGACTGCCGTTAAGTCGTGGTCACCAAACCCACGAGTCACACCAATTGTTCCCATTACTCTGCTCTAAAGACCAGAAAACAAATATTTGTGCATTAGCTTATTAACATTGTCCCGCATTTACCCTTTTTCCACGACCCGTTATTACGGAAACTCTCAGATCTTCAGGCTGGAGTGTTTTATAGGCCCATCCTTTCATATAGGCGTCCCGGAACATTACTGTTTTTCCTAAATCTCCCGACTTCGGACTGCCTATGTATTCTTTGGCAGTGAATTCGTTTCCTAAAGCCCATGTGCTATATGGGAATATATTAAAAAAGGTACTTCATTACCTAGCAAGGAGGGTTGTTCTTGAGCAAGTCTTCGGATGCGATCTCTCTCGTTCTCTGGCGTGAAATCCATAGACATAGGAGAATATTTATCGTTTTTGCAAATTATTGCTCGCGAATCACCGGCATTCGCTACATATAATTTGCCTAAAATAAATAATGCCACTAGTGCGGTGCATCCTCCAGCCGCCTGATATTTGTTGCGGTCTTCTGATAGCAGCTGATCCTGTAAAGAAATGTATTGTCAAGACGTATTCAACACCTTAAGGTTTGAATGAATGCAATTTACCATTTCCTTAAATGCTGATTCTAGTGCTCCAATAATTAGCAAATCTCTAGGTTTACAGGGCAGGTTTTTTTTGGAAAAACTAACCCATATGTCGTCTTGAGCATCAACAAGTTTCTCCTACAAGTAATGATTTATCGAATTCAACAGTATGTACTTAGGTACGTTGAGATAAAAAAACATACATGTATTATATGGTGTAACTGAAAAGCTGCACACAGAGCAGCCCCTACACCTGCATGCCCATCAAAAATCCCATAATATGTGTAAGGTATTGCAAATTTCTGAACAGATCCATCTTCATTTGGTGTTGCCTTGCTTAAAATACCCTGCCTATAGACAGCTTGATCTTCATTCCATCGGGATTTGCCAGCATTAACACACTCTGCATAGCCTTTTTTAAACAAACCCCACATTGGTAATGTCGATGTAAACAATACAATGAAGAGTAAACAATACAATTGATATTTCTAACCTGTATCATGCGGCAGTGGTTTGCTGGGGTGAATTATGGGCCTGAGTTTGTGATCAGCGCTCATTTGTACCTCGTCGTCGCCGAGACTGAGAAAATGGGGCCTTCCATAAGGGAATTTTGGGGCCAAAGTCGTTTTGTTGTAATGTGTCCCTTCAATGGCTCCATTGGCGGATTCTAGTCCGTTCACTGCACCAATAACAGCACTTTTCAGACGATTGAACATTGTTTTAGCGCTTATTTACCAAAAACATGAACAATACAAATTTAGCAATAATAACCAAAAAGTAAACCACTGTCAACATCACAAAGTGCCAATGACCTGCCAAAGTGTTCAAAACCTAGCACTTCCATAGAAATCTGTATGATCGTTCCCGGAAAATTCAGCAGATGTCGCCCAATGTACAGGTTCAATTCATTTTCTTGTAGGATTTTATCAGGTACTTTCAAGGGGGATTACCAGATAATGTACGCAACTTTTCAAGCTCTATTACAAATTCTGAATGAAAATGGAGTATTTGCTCGAAGTACAAAGTAAAAGCTGAAGCAAATTCTTTCAAGAGACGGAAGGTTTTGTGGCGTAGTAAATGCTGCGTTATTTAGACTGCTTGCTACACTTTTTCACAAGTCTAGACAGGAATATATTTTTTATGTCTGGTTGAATATAAAAAACACACTTTATAGTAGTCATTAAGTGAGAAGCGCACGGTGAGGTAAAATTTGCAGTTTTCCAAAACCCAATATCCCCTTATATGTCGTCGCATTTTCTTCAGTACAGTTATATTGCATCGTTATTAAGTAATTTTGCTTCAGCAATTGTTTTCGATACAGTACTTTGATGAATTCCATTTAGTTTCCCCACTAGGATCAGCGATGTGCAGCAAAAACATTTTTACCTTTTTTATCTTCAGAAAAATTAAGCTTTTGTCTCTAGCAAAAGCATGGCTTTATTGATATAATCTGAAGTACAGTAAAGTCCGCTTTTTTTTGCCGCGTTATGTATGTAAATCGTTTTAGAATGGAAAAACAAAAATTCACTAAATGAAAAGTACGAGATTATTAACAAAATAAAAAGTGGAGCAAAGCTGAGTGACATTTGTAAGGAATTAGCACTTGGAAAGTCTACTGTTGCAACAATATGGAAAAACAGAGGAAACATTTTATCAGCGTATGACAAAACAA